GTGTTATCAGATAGGGAAGTGAGAGAGGGATCAGTGAAAGGGGGACTGAAGACTGCGAGATTCTAAGAGTACTCCAGCACATCCTCTTAGCTGGAGATAACTTCACAAAATGCACATTCAAAGTGTGGAATTTATGGCCAAAGGATGCTGTAGATGCCAGATTAGCTAGGGTAGTTCTTGATGAGCCATGCTGGAGACAGGGTAGCTGGATAGACGGATCTGTTCTGACCTAGTGTGGCCGTTTTTATGTGAAGGTGAAATCTCGACTCCAGTGATGTCAGTGCAAGCTTTGCCACTGAGTTAATTTGAACTAAGAATATACACTGATAAGAATAGCAGATGGTTCAGAGATTAATTCATAATCCTACATCATTTCAAGGCTTCAGTGTAGCTCCATGGAGAGAACACCAGTTAGCAAACATCTCACCTATTTGATTTTGGAGATTTTGTATTTCCTTTCTGTGATCTTCCCTCAACCCCAAACAAAAATCGTACTGCATGCAGTTTGATAAAATGCAAATCCTGTCGGCTTTCTCCCTGATGACATTCTGCAGTGTCTCCTGGGATGATGGACCAGTAATTTTAATGAACTGTGGTTCTTTTACAATTAAGGAACGTTTGAAGCATTATGCCGTATAAATTACAGCTTAACTTCAGTTTTTGTTTCAGTGTCTGTAGATTTCTTGTCTTGGTGTCTAATATACTGGTAAAGACTCCAAGTACCTTATCTGCTGTTATTTTTTTTTGTTATTTTCATTTTTCAGTTACCCTTTGACTCCTTTTCAGAACTGCATTTATATAGACTCCCTTGCTCTTTACAATGTTTGGTTTGTGTAGTGACTTCAACACTGTCTTAGATCTTGGATCACACAAATGCTCATGCGGTTTTGTGGTCACCGCTGAAGATTGCGGTATGTGGTGGGCTGAGATACTTTTGCCAATAGGTGAAATCCAGCTGGTTTTCATTTGAGAGGAGACCTGACAAGGCTAATACACTGTCACAATAATTCAGCACAAAACACTGAAGTTTAAAATGTTCTCCCATATTTTCCCAGCATATATATGCAACTCAAACACTTTGGGGAAGTGGAACACAGAACTGCCTGTACAGTGCATGCATATTACACTTATTTTTGATGTGAAGGATAAGAATTTTCCAAATTCTGCCGTGTGCTGGGAAAAAGCTAGATTTTCTGTGTGTGAGAGTGGGAAGATGAGAAGGAAGGAGATGACTGAGCAGTGAAAGCACAATGCATATTCCTCTCTGCCTCCTTGCAGGCTGCCAAAAGCTCCAAAGTGGACAAGGCAAAGGGGGATCTGAATTCAGAGCAAATAGGAACAGAAATGTCATCATCTTGTTCATAATTACGGAGGGCCAAACACATTATCCATGGGATAAATGGTTGTCTTGGTCCTTATACCAACACAACGTTGCCTGACTATTAAGAATATAGAGCTGTGAGCTTATCTGCACCTCACTTGCAGACAGACAGATCAACCGTGGCCATAGATGCTCTCTGCAAGGGTCGTGAGTTTTAGCTGGAAATAACCAGTTGCCAGGATGGTTTGCAAAAGGACAGGCCTTGCTGTGCTGCACAGCGGGGTGTAGTTCCAAGACCCCGTGTTGAGTAGGTAAAGCCCTGATCTGGGAACAGTACAGGAAAATCAGTGTGAGAGACACAGAATAAGCAAATCCGACAAGTATGATAACATCTTGGTCCTTCTGCATTGGGGGACTGAAGTGGTGTCACTGCATGGTGCTGGACAGATGCTTTTGGGGCTGGTTAACGCAGAGCTGCTTTCTTCACTATGACATTGTTGGTGAAGATTGTCTCCACCACCTAGTCTGAATTTTCATTTTAATTTTTTTAATTGGCAATTTATCATGGTGAAAAAAGTCCTCAATTTACAAAGAGAAAAACTATTACACACATGAATGCCCAAGCATGGTACCAGCTTACCTCACGTTAGATGGGAGTGAGTTTTACAAGCAGACTGACACATTTCTTTATAACAGTCTGGTATAACTGTCATTTGATTTTACCCATAAAAATCCTTGTATAAAAGCAACAACTAAGGAAATCATGTTCTGGGTTTGAATTTCATAAAAACAGAATTGCACTTTTGATACAACTGCTCTTTTTATGATGTCTGTGAATAATTCTCCATTTAGATTTCAAATTATAGCCCCATGCAATTTTTAAGAAAGCCACCTTAAAATCTCCTTGGAATAGGCACAAACAGACTGTTACCTGTATGTAGTCTGTAACTTGCTGGTGTCTTTGTTTGGCTGCAGCGACTTCACTGTCTGAAATTGCTTCCCTTAGGGATTGCTGGGTTTTCAGAGAGTCCAGCTCTATGACAGCAGAAAGGCGGCAATACAGGCTTATAAATTTTTCCTTGTAACAGCAAAAATGAACTGTGAAAAGACCAAGTGCAAAGGAAACACTGTTATGTTCTGGCTATGAAATATGAAATCATTAGCTTTCAGAACAAAAATTTTTTAAAATATATAAGTACTAACTCTCTGGATGGGTTACTTTAAGATTTAGGTAAAGAATATAGGCTTTAATTCTTCGTTTACACTGGATTTACTCTGTAACTTCACAAGAAGAAAGAATAATTTCTAATTTATATCTAAGTGAAGGGATAATCAGGTCCTTTGTATGCAACTCCAGAGACTATTTTGCCCTTGATGCTTTAATCAGAAAGGCTGTTTCTGAGGCTTTTGTAGCTCATCAATCCTTTTATCAAGAAAGTAGTGACATGACTGGAAAATGGAATTCTTCCTTTTTTTTTTTTTTTTTTTTTTTTACCTGAGTGTTTCAGAAGGAAGGTATCATTTTGGAGGATGATAGCTTCCTCATGGGCTAGGCTAGCTGAAATCCATAACTCACATGTAAATGGCTCAGCAGTAGAAGCATTTAAGCGATATCGCAGTTTGGGTGAAACAATTAAGACTCTTTTAGGCGTTATCACACATCCTCTGAACTCTCATGCAGAAGGGTAACACAGAAAGTTCAGAAATGACTTCTTGTTTTGTGTCATTTGACTTTGGAGCAGCACAGAGCTATCTGAGCTACCAAAGAGGTCACTAGATAACAGCGACAGAAAAGCTACGGTGCCACGGAGCTTCACAAATGTTCATTTACCTGGCCTCGTAAAGCTACATTCCTCCACAACCTGCAGTTGCTCAGGCAAAACTTGCCAGTTATCCCTGCAAACTGCAGTGCAGAGTGAGTACTTGCTGAGGGAGAACAAGTTTTCAGAAATACTTCCCCATTCATTGGTGCTTCAATAAATGCAAGCATACAGCACGATCTTTTATAGCAGTGAACACCAGCTGGCTTACTACTGCTGCTTTTCGGGATTGTGGCATGATATTTTTCAGGGTGTTTCACATGTAAATTGCATATATTCTTACCATAAATATTGAAAAAAATAAAAAGTGTTGAGTGTCTACTTCTCCCTTGCAAACAACATGATAAGAATAATTGAGAAGAATTTCTCAGATGGAGAAATCCAGTCACAGAAACATTGTTAGCATAGCAATAAAGGCCTAATAGAAATCCCACAAAAAAGAGTGGAAGAAAGACTTCTACCTTCGGGTTTCTCAGTGATGCCTAGATATTGCAGGGATCTCGTCTGAATAGTGTGTGGTCTTACAGTATATATGCCATATGTGGTGGACTCTTGAGTGAATTACAGCCGCGGTTTCAGCTTCAGGGCTGAAGTTTCTAGCCTTTGTGGTTTTAAGTCAGACCCTTTAATGTTACTTTAACAAATGTTACTTCAACATAGTCTTTTGTGGTTATGCAATTATATAGTTGGTAGCCACCAGCTAATGGGGAATGGAAGCTTCTAATATTTGAGATGCGAATCACAGTCACTTTATAGAACATCAGGGATACATATATAATAAGTCATATAGAAATGTCATCTGCCTTTGACCAGGTGATTGCTTACTTAAAAAAAATACTCAAAAGTAAAATTCAGCTTTCCATACTGTTCTCTCCATGAACTGCTTTCCCACTGCACGACATTGCCAAACAGAGAGGTCTGCACCCAGAATGCCATTTGAGAGAGGACTCTGTTGCGTGTTCGTCTGCACCACATCATCCCCTTCGGTGTCTATTGCTTTGTCAGCCTGATGCAAACTATATCCCACAAGTGAGAATGACTCCTGCTCCCAGCCTGGGTACCACATAATGAGAGTTAAATAGTTTGCAAAACCTCTAGAGTGGAGATTGATTTCATCAGAGTTTAATATTCTTCATGCATTAATTTGCACAGCGAATGCAGGAGTCACCTCTCACGCAGAGAAATGATGTGCTCAGTACACAGTCTAACTGCAGACTTCGGGGTTGTGTGTCAGGAAGATAAGAAGTCTGGCTTTAGGGCACTACAGCCATGGCCAGATGACCCAAAGGACTGAACTCTTCTAGTTCAATGACATTAGTTTTCTTTGAAGGGGTAACTTTTCCTTGGCAGACTACAACAGCTCATGTATTGTCTGTCTGAATCAGAAGGAAAAAGATGATCCTCATGCGGGAAACTCCACTCAGAGCTTTCACAGAGTTGTGAGGGAGTCAGATCTTGAGTAGGACTATCTGCAGTCAGGAACTGCAAAAATTCTCCTCTACAAAACTGGTGATTATTCTTGTGACAATTTAGAGGGATTTTTTTTTGCATCTCCTTTCACACTCCAACGTTGTGATGTTGTGTGTAATTTTTTGGTTCTGTTTTTCAATGAACATCATCTTCCAAATGAGCTTATAGACACATACTGAATAACTGTGAGCTTTGGTCTATGCTTTTGCATTTCAATAACGATTACTACAGTATATGCTTTAACCACTCTGCTCCCTCTATAACTTGTACACAGTTATAGGCAGTGGTGTTGCCAAAGCCATCATGTGATTTATTGACTCTCCACTGGGACAAGGGGGAAAACAGATACAACTTTGTGATTTTATTATAAGGAGACTGGGTTAATATTTCTAGGTGAAGCAAGCTACTATACCAAGTTCAAACATCTGAAGAGGGAGGTTAAGAAATCCTGAGTGTGGGGTGTAAGGATTATTCTGTCCTGGGGCAGTGCAGACGTCGTCTGAGGCGGGGAGCAGGAGAAGAAAGGAGACATTGTGACCCAGTTCCAACACCTCCTGTGTATACAGACGGAAGTGCTTAGCCTGTAGAGGGACACGCGCGGGGGAAGAAATAGGAGAGAATTACAACATGGCACTTATATAAACAACACCCCAAATGATATAAAACATTAAAGAAAATTTGCACGACATCAAGCTCGGAATTTTTATAAAACATAAATATTTGGGGGGGGGGGGGGCCCTAAATGTGGGTTCATGTCACTACATAAAATAAAGATTTAAAGCTGCAATGTTCCACATTAAAACAACACACACAGGCACAGCCCCCCTGAAAACAACATTTATGTTTCTTATTAGGCAGAAAATGATCACATGCCATGTGCTTTTCAAGATTATGATTGCATAATTATGTGAAAACATGAAAATGGATTCAATTAAAAACCTTTAAGATTCAATTTAGGGTTGGTTAAGAGAAATATGCGGCTCTCCCTCAACACAGCACTGAAAAGGTTTAACAAGTGCTGCAGAAAGAGAAAATGGCACACACAGGAGCTGGCCTGAGGCGGCTGTGCAGCTGCCGTGCGCAGCCCTGCATTTACCCTGGGTATGCACCGGGGTCGCTGTCCGTGATTCTGTTTACCACAAAAATAATAAAAATATAGAAAGAAACCTGTTGAATTAAAAATTCAATTCATTAACCCAGACATTTGGTCCTGAGTCATCAAAACATTTGCACGTGTGTTGAACTGCAAGGTCATGTTTATGGCTATCTCTCACGCACAACAGATGAGCTTCAACGCTGGGTGAGCTGCAGCCTAAGGAACATATAGCACAGGGATTGAAATATTTCAGTCCTTAGCTCAAAAAAAAAAAAAAAGCACAAAAGCTATAACCTCCAAGAAAATACACTAGCATAGAGACCTGTACAGAGCCCTATTGAATCAGAGTGACTGACCACAAGGCAGCACACCATCTGTCTTAATTTTGGATTTACTTGAGTCTTACTTGGCTCTTCCCAGGCTAGAAGGTGCAGCACTGATGGATTCCTTTTTAAAAGCAAAGCCTAAACCTTTCAAAATCAAGAAATGTAGAACCAGATTAATTTCTTTTAAGGCCACATCTTTCTAGCTGCACAAACAGACCTTGAAGTAAGTATAAAGATGATTTACTTCTACTTTAAGCCCTCTTTACCCTTGTAGACCAAAATAAAATGGAATTCATGTAAACAAGAAACAAACTCCTTAGCTTATTTTTTCATGAATCTTTCACATCGTAGATTATCCTCCCTGACTTCTTTATTTATTCACATATGCATTTCTTGTACCTAAATGTAAAGCCAGAAGCCAGATACCTCTCCTCACCCACAGCAATCTGGAGGTCTGGAGCTACGTGTTTTAGAAGTGCTACATTTATCTGTGTGTAAAAGAATAGCAACACGCTGTGTCTTCAGCAGGCCTGTCGTGCACCCTCACCATTACCTCCAGAAGAACAGTCAATTGTCCTGCTTGCCTGGAAAAATAACTAATTTTTTTTTTTTTTTTGCCAGCTGGGTAAAGGTGCTCACAAATACTAGTTTCATGCAAAAGTGTTTATTTGCACCTGCTTGAAATTGCATGAGTACGCTAACAGAAGCAAAATCAGGAGCTAATTGAAAATCTGTCTCTTAATCCTGACATGTTCAAATATCCAGGGAAAGAACTGCTTTGTAGAAGATGTTCCCCACCCCCCCACACTTAGAATACAAAACTTTTCTGCTTTTCTTTTCTTGCAACTGGAATATCTAATCCCTGCTTGCAAGTTACACAGTTTGTAGTTTTTAGTTGGGTTCTTAAGAATGAGTTTTTAAAAAGGTGATAAATACCACAAAGGAAAATACCTGATGCAGAGGTAGATTGATCTGTTTAAGGAGAGCTTTCACTGCCATCTGGAGCTCATACAAGAACAATTGAGTAGGGCAGTCTGAAGTATGATCCATACTTTCCACAGATTCTGAGCCAGAAAGTGTTTGGATCCATTCCCACTCATCTCTGTATGTTGAGTCAAGTTAAAATTAGAAATATAACAAAAGTTCAGTGCACAAGCAGGAATTCAGTGTATGTGCATTTGGGATCTGTTGATAGTTTAATCCTCATATAGCAAAACATTCTAAACTTGTGCAGTCCTGGTTGTTTGTGGTTAAAAAGCTAACTTTGAAAAGTTTGATTTTTTTAGCACATGTACATCAGGCTGAACATTCCTTGCAAACCTCTGAAAGTCCAACTGCCTTTGAAATATTTCACTAAGGCTTCTCATTCCAAGTTTTCTTTTTCACATAGTTCATTCCCTATCTACCACATTATTTTAAAAAGCATGCATTGGAAGTGACAGCAGTCACAATTAGCAGGAAGTTTAATTTCTGTGACAGACTATTTGTACTCACTGTAGCCAAAGAACTTCCTGGTTTGCTCGACATATATCCATTCTAGACCTGATAAACATGGGAATAATCTTTCTGGATCAAATCTTTAATTCACCATGCCCAGTATTCAGTCTTGAAAAGCAGCCAGCACCAAACATTCAAGAAAAAAAAAAAAAGTACAGGAAGCCCCACTACAAGATGAGTAATAGATGTGGCACAATTTGCTCCTAAATAAAGATCTGATCTTAAACTTCAGGAGTCAGAGATTGTTATAAACACTGAAGCACTAGGCTTCATATTCCTTCCAAAATTTTTGTTATTATTAACTACTGCATTCTGGATGTCTTTGTTATCCACATAGATATCCAGTTCCTCTTTCCTCATGCAAAATTATCAGCTGGTTGATGAAATGATAGGGGATTAAAAAGCTCCAGAAAAAAAGCCAATAAAATGTGTCCACCAGGCATGGACCAGGCAGCGCAGATAAACGCACTTGCCCAAGAGATGAGGGAAGCAACGGACAAAGAGGAGAATGGCTTTCCTGGAGCCCAGCAATGGCTGTGCGTTTGACTGAGTACGTGTTCCCAATTGCTGCGTGTTTGCTGTGGGTTAGAGTGAGAAACCAGATATTACACAAGAGAATACACAGAAAAATCACCAGCACCAACACCCCATGGTCAGTGAAAATCAGGAGAAAGGGTGACATTGAATTCACGGGAGGCTGAATCTGAGCTGCGGGCTATGACCTTCCTAAGAGATACATGGAAGATCAACACCACTGCAGAATGTGAGCGACCACAGAATACTGTCCTTAGGAACCAAAGGGCTCGTATGTCCGTGTTCTGGATGGGCCTGCAGATTGCTGGAAACACACAGGGGCACCTGTTTAGTTCAGCGCTGGTCTCTGCGATGGTGCACACCTGAGCCAAACGGTGCTGGCATCTACCACTTTGCAACAGCAAAATTACCTTAGTGTTTAAATTTGATCAGTTGTTCCAAACTTAAAAAAAAAAAAAAAAGTTCTCTCTCTACATAAGTGTGTGTAAATAAGTACATGTTCACTTACTTGGAGACATTGCTGTTGTCTCGGATTTTAACATGACACAGGACATTAGGCAACTTCTGCAACACAAGCACTTTGATTTGATCCACAGAACTGCAGAGCTTAAGGTAACCCAGATACAAACCGGGAGGGAGGCGTTGCTGACTTCGTTTGTGATAGGAAAGTATGTCCTGTTTTAAGAGAAACAGTCCTACATAAAAATATAATTTTTTTTTCCACATAAGCGGAAGAGTTTGGGATGAAAAAGCAACAAATGTTTTTACAGCCGTCTTTTTGTTTCAAAAGTTTTCCCAATTCACAAAGCATTTAAGCACATGCTTAAGCATATAAATAGTCTCTGGTAGTTTGGATGCATTTGGACAACTTTATACTTCCAGGGGGCTACAGGAGAGATGGGGAGGCACTCTTTAGTGATAGGATGAGGGGTGATGGTTTTAAGCTGAAAGAGGTGTTACTGCGTAAACCAGTACTGTCAGCAGAGAAATGCGTGCAGCGTCACAGCTTACATCTCTCAAAAACCTGGTCTGTGTCATGTGCTGTCAACAGGAAGATCTGTATGAGCATGGGGGCTGGTGGTTTGCAAAGTTTAATTAATGGCTGTGTTTTCTGAACAAATATCTTTATCAAGAAATACAGCTTAGAAGGAATGAATAATGATGGCATATGTGCTGAAGCCAGGAGACATTTTTAAGGCTCTGTATAGAAGTCCCCCAAAACTACCCTAAAAATGCTGTCTGCTGCCATCCCGAGAAATGTGTGCTTCTGCCATGGGTGAGGATTAAGACACCTGGCCTTAGGCCCTTACTCTTGGAACCACCAAATTATCTGCCAGTGCTATGCTTGGCTCTGACCAATGCAATTAGACCCTCATTTTCACAAGCACTTCATGAACAAAATACCCATTGGATGATTAAACAAGTAATACAAGAAAGGGTGGGCATTAGATAGGAATGTGTAAACCATTAGGGGAACATTTTTTCCACTAAGATCTCTGTGGAAATCTGATCAGACCTGTATTCTGGGTTTCCTAATATAAAACTTTTGCCCAGATTGACATTTTTCTACACCTTTAACACATTTTGGTACATTAAACCTAACATAGATCAGGTAAGTTTTATTGTCTTTTGGAAATTTTTTAACGTTCCTAGAACCTGGTAATGTATATTTTGATCGCCTGTCGGTTTCCGGTACGAAAAACAGTCTCTGCCCAAGAAAGTGCCTCAAATTCAAAAATTAACCACAGCAGTCATCATCTAGTCGAGGGTGCTAAAGAAGGGGCTAAGACAATGATTTATCTTGTAGTATTTTGAGTAACTATGCAACTGAGTTTTAGAGAGGTTGGCTACTGACATTTTGTGAGAAATACGTTGCTCTTACATACAGAAAACGTGTATTGTTCTTTATGGGATCTATCTACATTTAACATGAGTTTACAGACACCCTGATTCTTGGAGGGCCGAAAACTTATGGCTCTCAATGATCTTAACTAAACTGACTATGCAAAGCAGCTTCTAAGATTAATCCATACCTTTATATTTTTCTTTTTGTGAAGTCTAGGGGCATGTTATGCAGAAATTAAAGGAGGGTTATGGTCAGTAAAGAATTCTTTAGCAACTATACCAGGCTCCAAGGAACTCTGAACCCCACTGAACAAGTTTATTAAGTAGAACAGTAAGGTTTTAAACCTAGATTTAGTGTTCAAGGTTGGATGGAAAAATCTTATGGAGTATAGAAATTGTAAGTGTCTGTATAGGTGCTTAAGAACATCCCAGAGAATTTTAAAGGTTTTTACATCCCTTGCTACAGAATTCTATAGCATGGTTTCCCGAAACTGATAGAAACAGTACTGTTCTTTGCTAGGACTTTGAAGTAATTTCTTTAGAATCTCATGGATATTTTAAATATTAAGGATCTGATCCCAGACCCACTGGAAGTAATATAAGTATTTGCTTTCTATGGGAGTCTTGCCATTAATTTTATTGGGCACTGGATTAAGGCCTAAAATTCTATAAGACTCTTCCAAAAATCAGGGCTCTGGCACAGGCTTTACAAAAGCAAATAACATACAGTAAGGGAAGCAAAGCACTACCTGGATTGTTATAAGCAAGATGTCTAATGCTGTTGGCTCCTCTGGAGTTGAAAGGGATTTCCTCTGGCTTTGTAGTTTGGATACCTGCATCCATTTGCCATTAAAAAATGAATAAAGACTCTCCACTTCTCTGATAGTAACTATCAGCATATTGCCATGTCGATCCTTGATTGGCTCATAAAAAACTCTGCCTAAGTTGTGAGTTCCCAGCAAATTCTAGAAAACAAGCAAATTACAAAAATAAAGTTATTTATCATGTATGAGGAGAGTGGTATTTTTTTGAAACTTAACTTTGTGCTGACTGACATCAGTCCTATTGACTTCAATAAGAACCAGACACACAATGTTTCTCAAACCCTTGCCCTACAGTCATATCACTCAGTGGGAAAAGGAGGAGTTTTTCCCTAGGTTGTGTTTGTGGTTTGAATTGTGGATCCTCTGATATATTTGGTCCAGCAGTGTTCAGTCCAACATTTAATGGAGAACATCAGAAAGACTATTACAACCCAATGTAAAAGGAACACTGCAAAGTAATTCACTTATTTGGACAGAACTTCCTATTTTTGTTTAGTCATGCAAAGATAAAGGATGCAATTTTCAAAAGCACTCAGTGCTGGTCTAGTGGCGATTCCTTTGGTATCAATGAAGCTCTTCTGATTTGAACTCACTGGAGAGCTAGGTACTTATAATTATATATTCTACTTCCCATAACCAAACGTCAGAGACGATACAAAATTCTTCCTCTATCCCCAAATCATTCATATTGGACACTTCAAATGTTTTCTGTTAGGGTCTTTAACTATAATCGCCATTTTCTGTTCTCTGTTTTAAAATTATTCTGATTATTTTCAGCAACAAAAGCAAGAGGGCCTCATATCTGTATTGAATGTAAATAATTCTGGAGCTAAACTGTGGGGTGTGTTTGTGGAGGAATTTGAAAAGACGTGAACCCTTTTCCTTTTACTTCAGATACGAAGAATGTGCTAGACAAAACTGGCAGAAACTAACAAACTACCAGGGCAAAGCTCTCCAGGAAAATATGCGAGGATTAAAGAAAAGTAATTTTAAAAGGCTGCCCATAAAATACATATTTTGGTCAAAATCCCTTTCCTCACACAGTAAGGCATCTGCTTATAGGTGCAAACACACTCAATCCAGTGACCAGCCACTGAAGAGATTCCCAGATGTCTTAAAGAAAAATTCCTAACATTTAAAATATGCTCAGTACTTTCTGACTTTTCAAGAGATCTACAGAAGGCTGGATAGGGATGGGAGTAGTTTAAAATGAAAACTTGAATTCACATTTATCACATTGTATGTTTAGGGAAGTGCTGTACATTAACTAAATGACATTGTAAATGGATAGATTATCCTGAATTTATTTATCTGTACTTAGCAGGCAATATTTACTTATAAACTGCATTATTAAATTGTTTATAAACTCTAGGTAGTCAGCACAGTGACTGCCCTTTATGTGGCGTAAATTAGCTATTTTAGCTTTATTCATCCCTCTCCAGGGCGTACTGTTGATGTCTATATGGCACCTCCCCTCTTCTTTTTTCAACTGTTCTGCCTTTTGAGGTTAGCCTCCATCACTGATTGACACTGGGTGTCTTGAGGAGACATTTGGTATTAATCCGTGTGTCCACAGGTGGGACAGATCACTGCAGGTAGATGTTACCCATCTAGCTGTCATATTAATCACTGTGAGATACCAGTGTGTCTAGATGAAAACAGACATTTCTTTCTGTCACTGACTGCACCTTCTGAATGGCATTCCAGCACAGAGAACGGAGGTGCCTACTCATATGAATATGTGACTAAGTCATATACTAAAAAGGTTTTGTGTCTGCTTAGCTTGGCACCCTGTTACTTGTGTTTTGTTTGCTTTGGTTGTCTAGTGGTAACAACAGGCAAAATTACAGTCCCTGTTGTTTCTCAATCTACTGATCTAGTCCCTTAGCAGCTGTGCTGTCACTGATCTTTCCCATTCTGTCCTAAATTCCTGTGGAGTCAGCCTGTTAACTACCTCAATAAAAGGTATTCAACCACATAAACTTTACTGAGACCCTTCCATTGGTGGATCCCATTAGGCCACACACCGTTAGAGGCTGGCAGATCGGTGACAATCCCTATGTTCATCAGGGGACCAAGCTAACAGAACAAATGTTAAGGACAATAAATTTGCCACAAATTCAACAAAGCAATATACCACATGGACACATTTGCTATATCTTTGTACTTCAAGCTGAGCTCTTAACATCTCCAGTAGCAAATAATAACACCACGTACTAGGAATCTTGGTTATCCTGAAGTGCAGTCCGGGCATACAGGCAATGCAATCTGCACAAAGGGAGTGAAACCAAGCGAACCACAGGAATACGTGCTACCTAAGCTGAGCTAACCACACCAGAGGGAACATTCAGCAGATATCGTTAAAACTTTCTCTACTGACAGTTCAAAGGACTGACAAGCAGCTGCTGCCTGACACAGGTGGTCCTCCAATAAAGGTACAGCAGACTGGCATTCCATATATTTCGGGATACTTTGGGGAAATCAGTCAAGACAGGTGGTTGCCCAGGAAGGCTTCTCTCCTGCACAGCATGCTTTGCCAAAAGATGTAAAACAAACCCCACATGGATATTCTTAATAATGGCCACAAAGTACCTGGCTCTCATAGCTGCTATAAAACCCAGCTTATTGCATGGACTGGCAATAACAAGAGGCTTGGCCGTATGGCTAATTCATGTGCCAGGCAATATGAAGATCTTCATTAATTCCATGACTGTACTGTAGATTTTTCTGGGAAGCTTTAGTGACTTAATTCAAACAAAAGGTAGGAGAAAGTGAGGCCTGGATATACTTTTTCTGTAAGAACCATGCACGCATCTTTTTGAAAAGCAATTTTCCCACAAAAGTAAATATTTTGTGACAGTGCCTTGCAGCTAGAGATTTCATGTTATCATGAAGCCCATTCTTCAAAAGCTTTAAAATAAATGTCAAAATGTCCTGCTGGAGAAAGTGTAATGACTTTTTGCATAACAAATAGTGGATTGAGACACAAGGATTAAGTGACCTGTTCAGTACCACTCAGATTGTATCTGTAGCGCAGGTTGGGACAGAACCATCCTGAGAGTCACTGCTGTGCCTTGACAACGTGATATGAACAGTGCATGTAGTGCTGCTGTCCTTACTGCTGTGCTGAGGGGTCAGCACAAGATCTGTGCACCACTTCATCTCTCTTAGTCACTGTTTTTAAGGGTCTAAATAGGTCTCTGTCTGGTTCTCTGCACAAAGGTACATTTCACCTTAAAATTTTGTCAGCTCAATTTAGAACTTAATGAAAGATTCATTTTTATTTCCTTGCTGACAATCCACAGCAGCATAGCTATCCTGTTTGTCAGACGGTGTAGTTCTGCCCTAGAAGCTGTACTTTAGCAGTTTGTAAGTCCTGTGTGAATCAGGAGTACTATTTTGGCAGCTTCAGCAACCTACTTGTCCTTCCTGTCAGGGACAGAAGCTACCTACTGCTACAGGTTCCCATTTACCAGAGGGGAGTCCTAAATCTTACCCAGAGTTTAAATGCTTTGTTAACATATTAATGATTAATAATGAAGAGGCCTTCTAAGAGGCTTTTGAGCAGCAAATGTTGTAACTCTTTAATTCCCATTCTGCAAACCCACATCCTTATCTGTGGTCATTATATACTGGTTCATATCTGTTTGTTTCCTTGTCTGCCACTATTGTTTCTTTCCTTTCTTTGTCCTACCCTTTATTTTTAATGCAACTCCTTCACCCCAGCTGGCAGGAGAGGCTCCATATCTCATTTCACTGTAGATGATCATGCTGCTCCAAAGAACAGGCCAGTGGGGAGTGGTGAACCATAGGACAGCTGGCAGTACTGTCCCGTAGAGATCAGAAAGTCACCGAGTTAATAGCTAGAAATATGGGGTGCAACCAACCTGTAGCTGTGCTGCTGCTGAAAGCATCTTTTGCCTGGCTTGGAGGGCTGTTGATGAGGACATGGATACAGACATGTTCTGCCTCAGCCATCTGATATCGTCCCACATGCAAGACAACTGCAAAAATATACCCAGTTCAATCAGTTTTTTGTTCTCAGCATTTACAAAAGCAGAAATGAAACTAAAAGCATTTTGGACTTGGAAAAATCAGTAGATATTGCTCATTTGGAGTTTCTGCTGATGGCAATGAGTTGCCTAGATAAACAAGAAACAGATACTGAGTCAGACACAGAAGTTGTTCTGTGAACATCATGCACCTGTTTCAGTTGCTTTTTGTACTACCGATTAACTGTTCTTTGGGGTATAAAAAATAGTATGAAGATTTATTGAACGATGACATAGCCATAATACCGACTTTAAAACTTCTAGTTATTTCTTTAGGCTTTTCTTCAAATTTTTCATAAAACCTTTGTGTAGCCAAGCAGCAACCATTTATGTAGAATCATCCATTTAAGAGAGTTAATTGTGCCACTGTCAGTGACCCAGTCAGAATTTAACCCATATAGATGGTTTGTGAAAATTGCATTTTAACGAGTGAAAGGTAAAGCACGTCACCATTTAGCTGTTTAATGATATCATTTCATATATTTGGAATGACGAGCTAAGGCCTGTGCATTGCTAGCAACAAATTTGTAGAAGCAATATATTAGATTAGGCTCCCGTTACCTTTGTGAACCAGAGGAAATCCTGCGTAATTGAACTGCTGTGAGAGTCATCAATTTCCACAATTGGGATTTGATCTTCATTGGTTACCAATAAATTGTCTTTGTAAAAAAAGATAACACATAAGTAGAGTCCCCTAAAGAAAGAAGGAAACATTGTCAAACGCCTTTCATGTCTGTTGACATCCGCACCAAATTTTAGTCAAAGAAACATAGATGTTAAGTTCTGAGGAGTCAAATCAAATAATCTGATCTTAACTTCTGTGTTATATAGACCACGCAACTTCAGCCAGTGAATTCTGAAAAATATTTGGGAAACTTATCACTTTAGATGATGTGAGACTACAGGAATCCAAGAAATTATGAATCAATGCAAGCCACTGGCATAAGTTTTAGTAAGAATTTTGCCAGAGTAAACAGTACACAATGGAGGCTTTATGCCCTTTAGAAATTAGAAATTTTACCAAAAATTTTTTATCATTAATGGGCTTAGTTCTGCCCTCATTTACTTCAGAGTAAATCTGAAGTAACTCAATTGAAATCAGGTGGGTTATTATGGATTTACATTAGCGTAACTGAGTGTAATTTGGCCAGCATATCTGCAAAACTGTTTATAGAGATCATTCCTTTCAATATTTACCCTTGCAATTACTTACATACATTAAGTAGTTGCCTTAGGGAATTTAAAGACTCAGGAGAGCTCTTCTGAAAGAATCAAACTCTTATCAAAATACAAAGAAAAGGCAAACTGAACACTCGTGGCAATGAAAGAAGAAAAAATCCAGCATAAGAACTTCCATTTGCTAAAACAAATTATCAGGACTGAAGGATGCTTGGGTGACACTGGGTTGCAAATCAGCTAAAGATGTTACAGAATTCTAGGTGTGTTACTTGTTGCCAATGGAGTATTAAAAGATGTTATCTGAGCCCTGCATTTTATATTATGAATGAAATAAATACCATAGTTTCATTGTTGAGCAGCAACAGAGGCAATACTTCCAAAATGCCTCAGCAAGTGCAGTTTGTGTTTGCACAGAATATTTCACTCTGTTGCAGTTCAGCTCCCTTTCCAGCAGCAGCAATGAAAAGATGCTGTTGATTTCAGCAGATTCTTTTCCTATCAGCTGCACCAGTCTTACACAAATGTTATTTTGTCAGGTTCATTCTCACTGATTGCTGTTTCACTGGTAGTGGAATCTTCACATATGTTTCTAAGGTGCTTTTCACTATTACATAAGAGCAACAACTGCTAGCTACAACTCAGAACGAGTGACAAACCGTTTCAGAGTCTTCACAAACTTGTTCGATGAATGGAAGAGGTGCTTCAGGCTTCTGGAAACTGATTGCTTGCGACCAGCATTCTGCAATTTAGAATTTTCTAAAATGGAAAATAAAAAACAAACCAGACCCGGCACTTACATTTCAATTAGTATCTCATAAAGATACTCATAAAGCTCTCTCAACAGAAGAATTGTATAAATTCAAATATTTGCCCAATATTCTAAAAACTGTGGTTAAATTTTATACATTGTATTATTTTTCCCTTTCATGAATCTGACTTAATGTCTTTCCTTCTCTCGTGCATGGCTTGAGTTTCCTTACAAGCCAAAGAAAAATCTTCCAGTGGGAACTGAAAGTTGCAAACTGTGAAACAGCTGTGTCCACCTGGATACCTGTGAGCAGATGTGAGAGGGTATGCCAATAGATGGCAGTCGGGGACACACAGGATTGTACAATGATTTTAGTATTGTCTGTTGGTGTTGTCCACATATGGCATTTAAAAGGAATGGGTGCTTAAAACTCTTTGGGTTTTTTTGCATTGTCTTTTGCGATGTCCCTCCTGTTTAGTGCTGTTGTGAGAGAAACAGCAGAAACATTTAATTTAAAAAAAAAGAATTAATTCTTCAGATCTTTACTGTGATCTGAAAAGAAAGATAAAAAGAAAAATGTAACTGTGAAACTGCATCTCAGTTTTCCAGGATCTGCCTGTTTATTTGGATGAAGCATGGATACCCATCCAGACTAAAGCGTGAAACGTTTTGAGGGACACCCTTCTCCAGTGGGGGAAAAACATGACTCATGAAGAACTATTTGCTGAAAACTTCTGATCAGTCTGTTTAGGTGTTCTCAGAGTAACGGATTTCCCGCTTACCTCCAAGGCAAAATAGGAGGTGTCTGTCTGCATTTCCCTGGTGAGCTCTAAGTTTGAACATTTAAAGAACATCTAAATGCTCTTGTCAAAACCCCATCTGTGGAAGTGCTCAACATATTTTTAAATGATGAATAAATCTGCACCGTAATTTGCACATTGAAAGCCACAGGAAGAAGACACATTGTTAGCAATAATTACCACTCTGCTGAACAGCAAGTACAAAGAGAACAAGGTTCTATCGGGGGTGAAATCATACAGTTCAGATGTATGAGATTTATTAGGTCATGGAATCCATTGCCTTTCCAGTGCAAACTTGTTCTCGGTGGCATATTCTCCCATGTGCTGCTCAGTTTAGTTTTAACAGACTCATCCGAATCCATGACTGCTCCTTTGATACAACTGATCTTTGTTTTCTTTTCCTTTTAAAAAAATTCGTTTTTCTATCCATATATCTTCAGATAATTTGTATTTTACTGTGAACTTTTTTCAGTATATCGCAGTAATGTAAACCAAATGCTACATGAAAACTCCTGTCTTACTGTTTCCTTCTTCCAAGGTTAAGAACGAATTAGGAATGTAAATTTCATTCTAATTATGCAATTTTTATTTTCTTCTATATTAAGGATGGAGGGAATGGAGGAGGAAATTGCTGTAGGCAAAGCAACGTAATTCTGTATAAAACACCCGGAGACTGCAGCATTGAAATGAGCGGGCACATTACAAGTGAAATGTATGTTATTGGGCTATTCAATGGTTTGGGTTTAGTCCACAGCTTTGCGGAAGCCAACAGCAAAAGAAATAATGTAAAACTAGATGGGGTCTGTAAACTCTCCTACATTGCCATTTGCTTTTGTTTTACCATGCAGTGTGTCTAGAAGCCAAAAAACATGGAGCTGAGATTAGAGGATAATTTGGATCTACAGGAAATGGAACTTTGTCTCTTATTTAATTAACTAATAAATAACATAGAGTAACCTTTATAGAAAAGCATCAGGAGCAACAAAATCATTTTGTATTAATAAATGATAGAGCGAGAGAGTTGTGAGCTCTTTTAATAGAAGCTCAGGAGTGAACAAATAGGGCCAAGATTAGAGAATTTCCAGTGATTAGATTTAGATCAGAAGCATTCAAACCTGGATTAAGTAGACAATTAACTACAAAGGCATATTTACACCGTTAGCAGTTTTTCTCGTCTCAGGTAGGATATATGAATGTTTCTTTGCAGTTCAGTTGAATACAGCAGATACTCAAAAGCAACATAGGTTGGTTGTGGAAGAATAAGAGCAAAGTCGCATGCTCAGGCTGCTAGTGTGCAGCTGGGGTCTCTGCTCTAGAGGAATGTCTGTTATGCTATGCCATTTCTCTGAGGAGGAAGATCATCTGGAATTCTTTGTCCTGTCACTAGACAAACGGCTGCCTCTCCTCAAGTGGGGCAGATGCGAAGTAAATGGAATGACCTCAGTGCAAAATTATCTGAGATTTTAGCCCACAAATCAGACAGCTTGTGGAACAGCTAAATATCATTTAGGGTGATGCTGAATAAGGAAGCACACTAGCACAAGATGAGCTAGGTCCCACTGAAATCCTAGTGGAGGGCATAAAATAGGGTTTAGAGTTTTCACTAACTGTGTAACCTCATGAAAATACATCAAATAGCTGGAAACTTGCAGACAAATTCAAACTCAATTTAAAGCAGTGCTGAGGACTGACACTGGGATCATGTGCATGGAGGCATAATTCCACGCAGACGTTAAAGACATAAGCAGTGTCCAGACACTTCAACAGCTTGAGACTGTGATAGATTCTGTAGTACCTCACCTCAAGGTGGGATGTCTTTCAAAATAAAATTCTGTATCTCATGAAGAAGCTGTTGGCATGACAGTCATATTACCAAGTGGTATATTTCAGATTACAAAGTCAGGCTCAACAGCCGAAATTGTAACTTCTTAAATTCCCTACCTAAACTTCTCAGTCTGTGGCTTTGGCTCTGGAGCCTGCTTTTATCTATTCATAAATAATTACAATCTAAACATTTTAAACACCCTGTGGAATCAAAGATCCTTCTCTTTGTTAAATGCAATAAAACTATGCGCTCTACTTGTGAACCAAATTATAATTAGAACATTTTTATTTCACCTCTGACTTGTCTAGTAAAATACGTTTCAACCAAATTTCAGAAAGAAACTATCTGCTAAGCATTTTCCTGATGAGCTGGGTTCCTCTCTTAATGAAGCATCATACAATTACTTAATCTAGTCCAAATTGCTTAGAAAGAATAATCTCCAAGAAAAAAATACTTTAAAAATACATTTGAAGTATTGCCAGGACATACAATTGTAGTAACTCAGTTATGATGGTCTGTAGCATGGTATTATGAAGACAAATGGATGACTTGTTTGTAATCATCAGGGTTTTCCAGAAGATTAAAGATATGAAAGCAAAACTTCCTAAGTAATTCCCTGGGAGATTTCATCATATCACAGAGCAGGTTCAAAAGCAACAGCTGATCTAATCCCAAAAGCTCTTAAACTCACTGTACATTCCAATGTATTCTTCCTGGTATTTTTGTGAGCTTCTTTTCTTCAGCCCCTGAAATGCAAAGCATAGGGCAAAAGGCAGGCTGCAGCGCAAAGCCTGAACGAACAGACTTGGGCAAGAGATCCGCCTGGAATCTGGGCAATTTAACACTCCCGGATCATGCTGGAGCAGTAGCACACAGCCTTGCTCTTCTAGCTCCTCTGTGTTCGGAGGCTTTTGCCTATGGAATCCAAGTAATCTCAGTCCTTTTAGAATGCTTGCCCTCTCAGTTCTTTCCACCTCCCCTAATTCATGCAGAGCTCCATTCTGCTCTCATTTACAAACCACAGCAAATCAGGGGTTGTAAGCAGATTCAGGGATACTCTATGAACAATGTCCAGCTATGTACTGACATCTCTTAAACAAGTGAGGAAGACAGAGGTTACAATATTAACATATAATCAAAGAGGAGTGTGGTAAAGAGAAGCATGGTAAAGAATGGGCGAGTGCTTGGACAGGTCCTCAGCTGATGTATAACAGCATACCCATGCTGTCTTCTGTCCTTGTCAGTTGAATCATGCTGATTTACATTAATTAAAAATCTAGCTCAGGCCTCTGTATTATATGAAGTGAAAGCCATTATTTGGGCTTTTCAATCATATACAGCAGCTTGTCTCAGATCCTTGACCAAACTGATCAGATTTCACTGAGGTTGATAAATACCAGAATCAAATTTCAGAGTCAAAGTGATGTCATAATTCTTACTCTTTCTGCAAACTCTTTGTCTGGAGTCTTTACCAAATTACTGACATACAAGGGATTGACATCAGTCATATATTGAAGGCAAGTTCCAAAGACTCTCCTATTTGTTACAATCCTGATTGATCCAAAATATACCACTGTGCGATGGTAGCATTATGAACAATAAGGAGATTTTTATTTGGTTGGAGGCAAGGGTGTTGCTCACACCAGCTCTACAGCATGGTACTGCCACATCTAAGCTCCCACATCCTCTTCCAGACATGCAAGAAAATGTTCAGAGCTAAACAGATTTTCTATATTGGTGTTATTTATTATTTAAGGAAAAGGAGTTAGGAAATCAACAACAGAGTTGTCTGCGCTTAGCTTTGAGACTGGGGTTAATTTCTGGAGCAGTGGAATTTTATAAGAACCAGGCAGTGGTGTCAGATTCTCAAAAGGAGGGATTTTCTGCATGTTGTTTATAGCTGCTTCTGTTCTGGGCTGGTATATCAGTAAAACAACTTATACCAAGAATATTCTGAGATATTCCATCACTTATTCCCTGTTGATCTGAAAGACCTGCGATATGCACTAACTTCAGAAAGGAAAAACTGTGCCCTGGAAAAAAGACTTCTCTAATAGCATGACAAAGCTATGTACAAGATAGAATACATCATCTATATTGTCAGTACCAAGATCACCTGGAAGTGATAATGCTTGTATGAATTTTAATTAGAGAAACAACATTTTCTTGCAATATCTCCTTTTCCTTTCCAAGCAACACAGCTGAATAGTTTAAGTTGCTATGGTTACAGTGGGTTGTGGCATACTGTGGATCATCGTGATAGTGATAGATTTGCATGTAAAGAACAAAGGCCACATCTTTCCATTTCAGGCAGATGATTGTAGCCCTAAGTAGTTCTATGATTTTAAATCAATTGATGCTGCTTGACATAACAGTCATACTAGATGAAGAAAAATGAGAACTTCATGGTAGTTCAAATTTTCAGGTTAAAATAAGTTCCTTTGCAATGAAGCATTATTCCAGTTAGAAGTTTATTTTAAGAAAATAGTACTTTTCAACAACCCATATAGAACAGGAGTTTTTGTATATGCTTTAAAAAGAATGCCAAGCTGTTGCCTTGGCTCTTGAGCTATTAAAGGCACAGTCTGTTTCTCATGAATGAAGAGCAAAGAGCTGGCTGAGATTCGAACTCTCTCCTAGTTTTGAGCCATTCAAATGTAGCAATCTCATCTTCCCACTGCATTGTGCAAGTATTTTTTGTTACAGGTTGGCATCACATCCACTGGAGTACTTAGTGTCTTCCATTTGGAGGCAGCCAAGTCCCCTCTTTGGATCCAAACCGCATGTTAACTCTCTAAAGTATTTCTTTATACGAAAAAATAAAAGGGAGATCCTTGAAACATTTTAGTGGAATCCTACTTGAAACTAATTTGTAGGAAAAAACAAATCAATAGGTGTGTAGGGTACAGAGGGAGGAAGGGTGTGTCTGTACTTGTGTGCATTCTAGCTTTCAGATGTTTTCATCCAAATAATTTCAAGGGTTAAGAGCAAGATAGCATGCTAAAGTGATTCCAGATGGGCCAATATTAATATCTTTCTCTTCCTGATGAATGAGAAGGTATGACCTAGTTAGGAAACTGCTAAAATTACAGGCGCCACAGAGGCTTCAGCTGGTGCCCTACCACATAGATATTTATCCTTACCTCTGCAATTATAATGCTGATGAGCTGCTCGAACCTGCTGAAGGAGACGTTCCAGGGCCTCAGTGTGTCCCCTGTGCCGTGGTTCTCTTCCACTGCAGTCTTTCCAGTCTATTGAACAAAGGAAATAAACAGAAATGAAACACAAAGGAGCAGGAGAAGGTTTTAAAATATTTTCTTGCCTCTGATATTTCTTGGCTTCAGAGGAGTTTTACATCTGGGCACACGGGAAGAAATGGCAGTTGTTTTCATGTCTGCTGTTGTTACTTGTACAATGAGTTTCCTTTGCCTTGTGCCAGCTAGGTAATTAATCATAATGATTATTAACAAAGAGCTCACAATCAGCTCCTGGAAGTGCCTGTAGTGACTGACTAGACAATGGCTGTTTCTCTTCAGTACATAAATGACCTCTGTTACTGTAGTGTCAGAGCTGCTCTCAGCTTGTACTGTCCTGACACCCTCAGTACCTCGCTAAGATCACCCTACTGCTCCTTCTGTGTTTTTTTGAGACACCAGAATGATAAATGACTCTCCTGCAGTTATACAGGAAAACGACTACAAAGCAGAGAATGAACATCTTCCTACATCCAGAGCTAGCTCTGTAGCCAGAGAAACATGCTCTGAGTAAAATCACTCCTGAAAATCTGCTCCCAGCAGAGGCCTTAACAAACGCTGGCAGTTCCTGCCCTGGAGTCCACGCTCTGCTCAGCACTGCACTCGTGAGGCAAGAAGCTGCGGTTTCTGTCCCACATACCTTCAACCTACAAAAGACTGTTCTCACTCATTTGCTGCTAGCTACAACCTCAGTCTTGATTTTAAAAACCAGGCAATCTCATCACAGATAGGAGAATGAAGATGTGTGCATCAGAAAGGAGCTTTTTAATTCCAGAATTGTCCATTATTTTCGTGCTTTCATTATAATGAGAAAAAAGTATTGCAGCAATTTCCTGACTCAAAGTAATGGTGGTCAAGGTATTAAGAGAACTGTCTGCAAGGGAGACGTGCTTCCATCTTGCTGGCGTAGAGGCCACGTGTGTATTCACAGCCACCAACACACAGCTTGCTCACTCACTAAATACACAGATCTAGCTTCTAGGGCAAGTTTGGAGTCAAGCATTCCTTCCAGTGGGCTCACTGTGCCTGGGATATAAGTATGTATTTGCTGCTATTTAGTACAGCAGCTAGAGTAAGCCCAATGGAAGGGTGGAAAGAGAAGACATTTGCTCTCCTGATAGCCTGCAGGCAGTTGTAAGAGCTGCAGAGTGGCTGTCCTGCACGTTGTGTGCCATTGCAGAGGTGAAGGGCCAGATGCATTTACAGCTCTGTGCGGGGAGGCCAGTTCTTAGATCTCTGGTGAGCAGCCAAGAGGAACCAGCTGAAACTCACCAGTCTCAAAGGGCTTTGGTGTCGTCAAGCTGGTAGAGTTTCAAACAACCTCATGATTTCTCTGTTTCAGTAGCTTCCAAACTTTTTGAGCCTCCAGATTGCTGACTACCTTAAAAATGACATGGAAATCAGATGGGCTTCCCTCATTGTCCATCACTTATCTGCTAATTCCTAAGCCTAGAAATGTTACTATCTAGTAGGATTTCACAGACCAGCTCAGCTGCACAACACTGGCCACCACTTTCCAGGCTGTGACTGTGTATGCTTCATTTATTTATTTATTTATTTATTTATTTCACTCCTGGATGACATGGCAATTAAATTACAGACTCCAGAATATTTGTATTTTTCTGTTCTTTGAAGAGGGAGAAATTCTTACAAAGCAACATCACTAATCAAACCAGGAGGGTAGAGAAACTCAACCTACTTGAAGGAGAAGCATATGCAGGAGTAGATTTGCGTGGAGGTCCCCATCCTCTCATGTTGTATGCTGAAACCTGGACGTAATACCTCTGTCCCTAAAAATGGAAACAACTGGAGTCAAAACTGTCACTTGACTCAAAATCTTGGCTGTAATAAAGGGAAAGCAGCCCCTCCCAAAGATTTTTTATTTGAAAAATTTCATAGATTTCATCAGCATCAACTGATGCACTGTGACAGATTGAAACATACAAAGATTTCAGGACAGGTTAACACAACACACCAATTCCAACTGACAAACCACAGTCTCTTCTACCAAAGCCAAACTCTTAGAACTCATACAATCAGACATCAGGAAGAGGGATTCCTCCTTCTCCTGTTGTATTTGACCGAGTCTCTCTACCAGAACGGCAATGGAAGAAGCTTTGCTTGGCTACCACTGAAATCCGTCACACCGTTATTTATTTTGATGCATAAATCTAAGCTGATGGAGAACACTTCTGAAAGTCTGACTGTTAATTTAAAGATGTTGTATACTTTGGAGAACACAGTAAGCACTGTTCTTAACATGTTCCTGTGGAACTGACTGTACAAGCTTGCTTGATTTTAACTTAAGAATAGTTACTCTGTTTTTTGTTAGAAAATGAGAAACAGAGGAAATGCATATTGTGGCTCAGGTCCCTGGAAGCATGCTTTAAATCAATGATTTCTTAATATAAAAGGCTAGAAAAATCACAATATTTTGGTTTTACGTGCAAATCATCACAGTCTTTTTATTAGTGGGGTGGTGGGGGGCATCAAGATCTAAATGAGTCATTTGGCAATTACCGTTCTGAGACTCGTGATGGTGCACCTCAAAGACTGAAGATTATCCATAATTATTTCACCAACCAAAGGAGAAAAGTCTTCTGAAGAGCTCCATTCCACTAGGAGACAAATAGCAGGAGAAAATCAAGTCAGATAGCAGTCCAAGCAAAGAAATCAAAGTACTTGAATCACTCACAGGTTGACTTTTCTCCTAGTAGTTTCCCATTCCATGTGGATACTAAAAGTCAGATTTAACAACAATGTTTAGCAAAACTTCACACAATAATTAAATTATATCTCTGTGTATGAGAGAGAAAAGCAAAATATTGCTCAAAAGCTTTTCAGGAAAGAATGCTTAAAAATAGACTGCAATACAAATTACATTCAGTCAGCGTTTGCCCTCATTTAAACAATTTCCTTTTAAAGAAAGAGAAATAGTGGAAAAGACTGGGTAGAGAAGTTGGACCTGCTAAAGCCATTTGGCAGTTTACACGTCCAAACCAACAAAAAGCACTGTATTGCAGTTGGATCTGCATAGGTAGGCGTGGACAGAGAGTCCTCATGGCTCCCCCACGTCCACGAAGCTCTCATCACCAAGCCTGGGCTGATTTGTGTAGAAATACCCTCCTGGGACTAGATCTGACACTCCAGACTAGAGTCTCTTCATCAGTTTCAGTGGGTTCTGGCTCTCTTGTCCAAGCCTGGTTCTGCCGTGGGCACTGAAATGACAGAGCTCCACAAGGACCCGCTAGGCTGTATCCACTTTTGAAATGAATTAGGCGGCGCTGGGCTGACACATCCCTCCCAACTGGTCCTGTAGCCTGAATTACGATGGGTGCCTTCACCAGAGTGCTCCCGTCAAAGTCTACAGGAGACTCATATTCCTGCGTAAGGGGTTATGACATTAGTATTCCTGCTGTCAGTACCGTTCCTCGGTACTTGCAAAAATTAGTGCGTGTGTAGAATAGTATCAAACCATCAAGACCATGAAAAACTACTGGATGATTTTAAAAAATGAATATATGCAAGTGGGGAACTGATGGCTGCAGGTAGGAAAACAGTCTCTTTGTCTAAATTATACTTCAGCACTTACAAATACAGTGATTAAGGTTAAGGTTAATCCCAGAGTCATACATCTGGGATTGAGTAACTTGTACCTTCAGACTCAAACTTGCAGGAAAACCTATCAAAAATGTAGTGAAATTAATCTCTTAGATCAGTCTACTGTAGACACGTGAAAATCCCTTCATCTTCTGGATTTACACCAAACTAGAGAATTCAATCCAAAGCTTTCCCTTTAAGATCCACAACATAGTTTTATAGATACTTTATTTGCATATTTATTAGTATTGGAGTCAATAATTTAGAATAGATTGGGGGTGTGGGTATTTTAATTTCAGCATTTTCATCTTCTGGCTGTGTCATACTGGTATTTTTGTGTTAAAAGAAAAAGGCTTCACAGAATTTGTTGCTCAGCATATACAACATTTAACTGCCAACACAGTTTTCTAAATGTGCCAAGTATCAATAGCACAACTCATTTTTTCCTTTCTCTCCTAATTGCTCCTTTTCTGTGATTGCAGTTTGTGAATGCACAGCATGTTCTGCACCGGTTTTGTATTTGCGGCAAGGAAAAGGATATTGATTTCGTCGGTTGTTTTTCAACTTTTTCAGTGTATATTTTTCTGGTTTTCTGTGGGTTTTAAATACCTAATGACTGCCACCTTGAGTGGAACCTGTCTCTATACGTTAGTATAAAAATGCAGGGACTGTTATGGTTCCTTGTAGGTTTTTGTTGACAAATTAATTACAGGAATTCTTATATGTACCATTGAACTTGAGGACCTGTCAGAGTTTCCATTGTAAACCATGATTTTCAGAGTTTATACCTTCACTGTATTAAAACATTGAGGACATTGTATACGTGCTGCAAACTTAGATATGTTGTCTGTTTTCCAGTAAGGTAAATTGAAGAAACTGTTTGAACATGTTATCAACAGGCTTACAGTCACTTCACCATTTTGCTTTTCAAAGGTTCATGTAAAGCAAGATAGTGGCGCTCAGGACAGATTCTGCCAACACATCTTGTCTTCATTGACATGCCCAGGTATGACTGTGCTTCTCAGCATGAGGGGCAGTGGTGAGGTTGCACTTTGGGCAACACAAAACAAAAGCCAAGGGTGAAATAAACAGCTTTAAGCTACTTTTGAGCTTCCCAGATTTTGTTCTGTTCTATGGACTGGAGAGTGCCCAAACACCAACTGGTCGTTCAAGAGGCATATTTGAATTTGGGCAGCTTACACAAATAAACATTGCAGCTCTATTCTTGATGTGGGTCTCTTTCTCAACCCTTCCACTTTACATTCCGTCGTTTAGAAAAGTGCTCCTAGTATTTAGAGATCCCAACACACTGCCTGAAGAGGAATTAACTGCCTGAATCTAAACAGGATTGCAATCCCACCTGTCTGCAAGCATGTATACAGCAGGAACGTTATGATACTGGTATTGTGAACAGCAACAGCACAGCAGCTTGTTCTCAGAAGTAATCGAAGACCACTGGGTTCAGAGAAAGAAGCTGAGTTATCAAGGGGAGAGAAGACTGACATTGCATTGAAAGCTGAGTCAGGACCAGCTGAGGAGGTGGGTTTTGAAATAATAATTCATGGCTTTGCTCTGATGTTCTAGAGCAAACTGTTGTCCCAACTCATGTTGTTGGTGAAAACCCACGTGTGGGGCAAATGCCTTCATCCACTTGGTGGGTGACACCATGATCTCCCAGTCCTTTGAAGGACAGCTACCTGCTAGGGAGTGACCAGCCCTGCTGGTCCTTTCAGGAGATGCTGGGGAGAGCTGCGTACCCCTCGCATCCCCTCAACCAGCCGGGTCTGCACTGTTGGCTAGGCTGGGGCGAGGCTGCGCTTCTTGTTAGACAGCCAACTCATGGCAGCATTCTGCACTGATTTTTTTAGCTTACCCTGTGGTGGCTGAGACCCGTGAAACTGAAAACACAGGTGTGTGATATTAGCTTGTGGATCGGGTTATGGTTATCGTTATGATTGAGAACCCCCCTTCTAAATGTTATTTTCCTAACAAGATGCTGTATACAAAGTTACTCAAAATTCAATTTTTATATATACATATTAAACCCCCTCACATGTGGAAAAAGCCCTGCCCCCCGGTTTCAATAAAAATTTCCATAACCGAAAAATATTTTTTTGAACAGCTGTGTTGGAGTAGTGCCTTCATTTTCCCCTTGTTTCAAAGTACTACTGAGAACATATCAAGAGGATACACTGAAGCATTGTTATTTTTGACAAATGTCATTCTCTGATTCATGATATCTCTCATAAAGAAACAAATTTTAGAATTTTTTGTTTAATTTTGATTTTAACAAACATTTTCCCCCCATGATTTTCCTGATTCAAGTGAGAAGAGAATGACATGATATAGTTTTAAAGAAATGCAAATCAACTAAAGTCATTTATCACTTATTAAGTTGATATTCCCTGTTATACATTGCCAGATTTCAGCTTCCTACCATAATGGTTGTCTAAAAAAAAAATGCATAATACTCTTCTATACTCATTGATTGGGTTTTAAACCTTTTAGAAGGATATGAATAACAGTGTCACTATTTTATAGGTGTAAAAATGAAGGCAAGGAGAGATAGAGCACCTTGTTCATTCAGTAGGTGCCAAAACAACAAGGGACAAACTCCTGTGGCCTATATTACGTTGATTAGGCCAGTGCTGCTCACACTTTCTGGCTATGTGGGATATATATTCCTCTTTCTCGTACCAATACAAGGCTGCACATCCATGGTCTTACCCTTGTGATTAACCTGGATCTAAAAATTATGTAACTTTGTGCATGAGCAATACATCGTGAAGATTTTGCTATATCTTTGCCTGCTTTCTGAGAGAGAGCGCTGGGAGACTCTGCTCTGGTATTAAAGAAAAAAATATCAACCCTTTATGTAACTCTAAAGTACTGGGGACTTTAAGAAAGAACAAAAGGCTAGCTAACCTCAGCACTTTAAGAGTTGAATATAAAAATGCTGAAGTATAAAAACCTGAAAGATGAAGAGGGTCTTTTATAAAAGCCCAGGAACAAGAGCTGGTCTTGTAGACTGTACCAACTGTGCTGTAAAGGACCTGAAAGCTGTTGGGTGAATTAAGGATGGAGCATGTTCCAGTCCTGTTCTGAACACCCCAAAGGCCTGCTTTGTCGTGAACGCTGAATGTCTTCGCTGTTGCGGCTTTCCATCTGACACTTCACGTTATGTCAGAGCAGGGGTTTTTTGTGTGTTTAATATATTGGTGACTATGTGTTTTAATGAAGGTGCCCTGTATTCCAGAGCTAGCAAATGCACGATGTGTTGCTGCGGTCGCCAAGATAAGTAGTAATTTTTAAATAAACAGCAGTATAAACAGTTACATAAAACTCATGTAAATTGCTGGCACATAATTTTAGACTGGCTTAAGTTATGTAACCTACTTGTGGCCAACTTTTTTTTTTTTTTTTTTTTCCTAATACTCAATTCATGCACTTTAAAATAAAGGGAGAAGTTTGTTTTCACCTGTTTCTTTTCCACTGGCTATCTTTCTGTTATACTGAGCACACCTTGAACAGCTCATCAGGGAGATTGACAGACAGAGAAGAGACAAAGTGAAGGCACTAAACACCTCCTGACCCTATTGTAGATTAATTCAGGAAAGCACCTTCTGCTGAGTCAAGTAAATAGCCCAAGCCACAGTAGGATTTGCCCCTTCTCTTGGCATTTTTTTTTGCTTGCGTTTAAAGTACTCACTGAATTGCTGAGTAGATTAAAGAGACTGAGGGACATGAGTTCTGTTGGTAAGTTGATGGAGTCTACAGAAGAGCGTACTGAGCTGGGATTCTGGGTTTTTTTCTTCTATTTGCTGCTGACGTGCTGTGTGACCTTGGGCAAAGCATTGTGCCACTATGGCTCTTAACCCAGACTTAAGCAGCAAAGATTCTCTCTTCTTACCTCCCTGCCCATGTTCAGGGCCTAGGCTGAAGGACACCGCGATCTTAGCTTGTGTTTCCAAGGGCCTCCAAACAAACAATTGCATTGTTCGAAAGCTTCCTTTGAAAT